TATCAAAACACCAAATGATTGGACAAGTCCTGCATACAATTTCCAAACAGAAGTCTGACTTTTTTTTTACCAGAAAGTCATAAACAAAACATAAAAATGAAACATGCACAGATGAATTACCATAATGCAAAACCATCTGGTTACACTTTACTTGATGTATAATGCATTATAAAGGTATTCATAATATACATTATAATGCATAATATATTTTCATAAATAATTGTAACCAAAGTTAACATGCAAATGTTTTTATACATCTGAAATTGGTTGTTAGCCATGGTTTAATGCTTTATATTTTCCAAAGGTGTGAAAATGTCTATATATATATATATATATATATATATATATATATTATAATGTATAATAACTGTGGATATAATTATTCATGCGATCATACATGTTATAAGGTGCATTACAAGACACAGTCAATGCATTAATGCACAATTACAAATACTTTTATAATGCATTATATATAAAAGCTTCATGTAAAGTGTTACAAAAAGGTACAGTAATTCCCATTACATTACTGCATAAATTAATAAATACTCACTGTCTTCCTCGGTCTGAAAGGTGACCTCTCGGCTCTCTTTCTTGCCCTTAGGATCTCGGCTCTCTTTCTTGCCCTCAGGATTGGCCAGCGCCAGCCGCACGTGAACGGCGTGGAACGGAGGCAGGTCCCGGAGCGTGAAGCGGGAGGTGTTCCGCCCCACCGACAGACACTCCCTCACCGTGGCGTTATTCCCGCCGGCTCCGCCCCCCGCGGCCGTGGAGTAGCGGTAGCAGAGCGACAGCGAGTACGTATGGCAGCGCGTCAGGTTGTAGCCGACCGGCTCCCACTGCAGCAGCAGCTGACGGGACTGAATCTCCGACGCCGTCAGTCCTCTGAGCGGACGCATGGGCTCTGAGGAGAGAGAAGAGGCACGGAGTTATGCACATTTCACACTTTCACTTGAGTTTGCTGTTAACATGTTGCTAAGCTAATGGCACAATACTCTGATAAGCCTAAAACAAACATAATAAAATAGTAATAATGCTTGTTTTCAATACCCTGCAGTATTGAATTATTTAAATATTATCAGCATTTTTCTTGGCTTGTCTGACATCTTGGATTATTACAAGCTGTGTTTGATCAGGGTTGGAGCTGAACTCTGCAGGAAGGTAGATCTCCAGGAACAGGGTTGGGCACCCCTGATATACATGATACATGATGATAGAATTTGGTCAAAACAAGGTATCTTAAGCTTCTTTTCCACCATCATGCATCGAATGGTTATAAGGATGGTAAGGTAAAGTTATATTTACAGTTTATTTACGGATTTGAAACCATCTCAGGACAGAATGGAACAATTAAACAACGAGAAGAATTTGGCCCGATGATGGAAAAGCAGCTTAAGATACCTTGACCAAAGTCCACGTCTGTCATCTTAGTTAGGCTCACAAAAGTCTACAACAAATTTCCAGATTTTAGTACACAAGCATCTACCTCGAAGCTAGCAGATATGGACTATAAGACACAGATCTCTCTAAATTAGATTTCACAGGTTCTTCATACAATCATAAAATAATGTTTTTCCCTGGGAAACAGAGCAATACATGACCTGACAGATGGATGAAGCCGGAGAGAGAACGGCTGACTCTCACTAACATGTATGAACTCTAAAGCCGTGAGAGACAGAGCTGTTAAAGTACATTTCATAGGTAATTCAAAGAGTTATTATTACATATAAATTAGCATTTCATGAAGCTCTGCTTCCTCTCTCTCAGTGCAGATGCGATTAGAGCTGCCATGAGTTAATTACACATGTCATGTGTGAAGGCAGGGGTCCTCGTCTGTCTTTCCTGTCACTTTAATTCCCTCTCTCTCACTCTGACGAGCGTTTCTACCCAGAGACAGACAGACAGACAGACAGACAGACAGGAGACGAGCCCAGTGAGTCCTGCGTGTCCGTAAAAATAAAAGCACTTGGCAATACAACACGAGGAGCTCTACAACAAAGCACACTGATGAATAAACACTGCCATTATACTTTCAAACTGAAAACATAAATATGAAAAAGAGGTCCTGCCAAAACATCTCCAGTTCATTTTTTCACATTTTAAGATTTTAAGACTAAGAAACAATCTGGTAACACTTTATGGATAATGCATAAATGTATTCATAATTATGTTATAACGCATTATATATTTTCCTAAATAATTGTAACCAAGGTTTAAATGCATTGTAATATTTGCAGATTCCTTGTTACATTTGAAATTGTTTGTTTGTCGTGTTTTAATGCATTTGGCTTTCTGAAGGTGTAACAATGAATAGATATTATGATGTTTTATAAGTGTGGTTATAATTATTCATGAGATCATACAATGCATTAAAACTACTTTTGGTCACACTTTAGTTTGGGACCAATTCTTACTATTAACTGATTATTAACTACAACTTATGCCTCAATAAGCTCCTAATTTGCTGCTTATTAATAGTTAATAATGTAGTTGTTAAGGTTAGGTATGGGTTAGATTAAGGGATCTAAAAATGTGGTCATGCAGAATAAGGTATTAATAAGTGCTTTATAAGTAATAATAAACAGCCAATAATAATATGCACGCTAATAAGCAACTAGTTAATAATGATAATGTGTGTACATTAATGAGGAAAAAAAATAACAAATGATTTTAGCAAATGGCTGCAATATAACAAAGAGTGAAAAATTTAAGGGGGTCTGAATACTTTCCGTACCCACTGTATATACAGTATATATAGGTTACAAAAAGGTAATTATTATAATATTGAATGAATGAGTGAGTGAGTGAGTCAGTGAATAAATACAAATAATAATCCCAGTAATGAGTATTGAAAATATGCAAATTACAAAAAAAAAATAATAATAAATAAACAAACTATTAAACTAGTTCATTTTGTGTAACAAACAAAAGTAAAATGCATTATGGTAATGAACATGAAATGTTTTTGTATTATAGCTATGCTAATTTAGATACAGTTGTTATGAAAATAATGTTGAATGCAAAAACTCTATAAAAATAGATTTCCTTTTCTATAATGCCTTATGTTTATTTCTTTAGATTTTTGGGGGGTGAAACGTGTCTTCATGTTTACACGCCTCGCTGCCTGAGACAGTCAGTGTCCAGTCAAGCCTGCAGACCCGCACCTCTGCCCTCCCTCCGAGTCCTCCAGACAAATCAAGCTGATTACACTAATTAATGAGACACATCTACTGAAACTCCCACAGGCCTGATGAGGAATGGCCTAACTGCTGGATATGACACACACACACACACACAGCAGACAGCAGAGACACATCCGCTGAGAACTCAAGTTTGACCTCTGATATAAATGATATAAAAAAAAACGCAGAGCAAAGGAAAAAGGCCAAAGACAGGAAAAACAAGAATGATTGATGAAGACAGTGAAACAAAGAGGCAGACAGAATAGAACAAGTGTGTGTATGTTGGCCCGCAGTGTCTATTGTGTAATATTAATGAGGTACAAGTTGATTTTGAATATATAGAATGTCTTAATATTTTTTGAAATGTTAATTTAGCATATTTCTGATTTAATCAACGTTTAGTACCACTTTCAATAACGTCTGTAAATATAATATATTCTAAAAGGTATTCACAATGCCTAATAATCCATTATATCTTTAAAACAATTACATAAATATTGATAATATAATATAATATAATACATAATATTCAGAGATGGATGTTGAATTAGTTTGAACTGATGTCACTACCAGGACACACACAGTATGTATGTATTTGTTTATAATAATAAGGTCATCTGTATGTTAGTAATATACAGTACCTACATGAAAATAACTCCTTGAGTAGAGAGAAAGATGTATTATATTGTAATATAAATAGTCAAAGAAATACTTGTGAAATTATGCAGATTAATACAGACATCCAGAGCAGTAATGCGCCTGTACTGTACATCTGCACCAAATCAGCCTAAACATCAGATACCAAAAATGTTCAGGGACCATGTTCTTCTGATGAATAGAGTCTCAGAGCACCTTCGACATTGATACATTACGAAGTCCAAAAGCAAGGTTACAACACAAGTGCATTTATACTACAGTTGTGTCCAGTTTACTTCAGCCAGACAAACAACACACGCTCCTCAGAGGACCAGAGAATAAAGCCAAAATTTGATTATACAAGACGACTTGACTCTGTTTGGCTCATCCTTGATTCAATTTGAACTAAATTAAATTGTGGTTTTCAAAATTTTTAGTCCATTTTTGTTATCTTTGAGCTCATCTATCTGCTAGAGTCCATGTAACAGCATTACTATGACATCCCATAATCTCATGCATGTGCTTCCATGGTTACTGGGGAAAAAAACTGTAAAACCTTAGTAAATTAATTTACTGTGGTGCCTTGAACATCTGTCCGAAAACAGTTGACAGTCACATTTACCACAGGTGAAATCCACTGATTTTCATAAGAATCCACACAACTTCACACTTGAGTGGTCTCAAGTGCGTTTTAACACTAAACATTTTTAATGACACATATAATAACTGACTAACGAGGAAGAAAAGAGAGTCCGCTCACCGGCACACTTGGTTCTGCTGACCAGCGGGGGTCCAGGCGGGCCGGTCCCACCCTCTCCGGGCCGCGTGAGGAGAACACTGATGCGATATTCGGTATCTGGCTCCAGGTGCCAGACTTTATACGTCAGTGAGTTGACTCCGTGCGTTTCAGACCAGGGCGAATGGCTGGCCCGGTACACGATCTCTCTGCGGATCACCGGCCCGTCGCCCACTATAGAGTTAGTGTTGAGCTGGATGATCAGGTAGGTGGGGCCAGAGCGCAGCAGCTGGGGCGGAGCTATCGGTGTGGGCGGGACTACAACAGAGTACAGCAAGAGAAAGAAAGAAGCAAAAATAACTCACGATGAAACGTGCAACTTAAAACGTTCAGATCAGACTAAAGCGATCAGGGATCTTGTTCAAAATAGATGCCAGGTAATCGTTTCGGATGTTGAGATTCTTCAGAAAGATCTGCAGAGCAGCTGGTGCTACACAGACAGACCACTCAAGGTTTGACAGACTTTACCACATTTAACTCTTTTGTCAACAAATCTTCTGTGTTTAGGATTAATAGTATCTATTGCATACTGTGACTGGACGAGCCAAGTTTCTGATCATCAAATAAGCATTAAATAGTCCTTTTGGACTATGCTTAGGGTATATTTTCATTGCACATTGAACCCATTTGTTATTGAATATCAAAGAAAATTTTCGAAATGTTAATCTGACCCCTTCAAAATCATACAAAACGATGCGGATGCTTTATGGGTGGAATCCTATTGAAATGCCTTGATTTTGACCACAAACTTTCGGAAACGGTAAACGTCACTCTACAGTAAACATACATTTAATTTAACACATTTTTGTTGTTGTTAATGTTTTAGGAAATACTTGTCCCAATAGCTAAAAAGCAACTTTAAAAACATATTTAAATTGTATTGTAGGCAATATAATGCTGTTTCGGCAAAAAATAAATAAATAAAATAAAATAAAATAAATAAATCAAGTGTAAAAGTTAACATAAAAAATAGTTTACCAACAAAAACTTATGAACTGTAGAAATTAATTAATGAACTGTTTGAACATGCGACAATGTGCTGCAACCTGATATTTATGAAAAACATTTGTGTCCACAATTACATTTTTACCTTTTGACTACAGACAGACAGACAGACAGATAGACGAATGGATGGATGGATGGATGGATGGATAGATGGATAGATAGATAGATAGATGGATGATAGATAGATAAATAGATAGATAGATAGACAGATGATAGATAGATAGATAGACAGATAGATAGATAGAT